TGAACATGAGCCAGCAGTGTGCCCAGGCGGCCAAGAAGGCCAATGGCATCCTGGCTTGTATCAGAAATAGTGTGGCCAGCAGGAGTAGGGAAGTGATCGTGCCCCTGTACTCGGCACTGGTGAGGCCGCCCCTCGAATACTGTGTTCAGTTTTGGGCCCCTCACTACAAGAAGGACGTTGAGATGTTGGAACGTGTCCAGAGAAGGGCAACGAGGCTGGTGAGGGGTCTGGAGAACAAGTCTTATGAGGAGCGGCTGAGGGAACTGGGGTTGTTTAGTCTGGAGAAAAGGAGGCTGAGGGGAGACCTCATCGCTCTCTACAACTCCCTGAAAGGAGGCTGTAGCGAGGTGGGTGTTGGTCTCTTCTCCCAAGTAACAAGCGACAGGACAAGAGGAAACGGCCTCAAGTTGCGCCAGGGGAGGTTTAGATTGGACGTGAGGAAAAATGTCTTTACTGAAAGAGTGGTTAAACATTGGACCAGGCTGCCCAGGGAAGTGGTTGAGTCACCATCCCTGGAAGTATTTAAAAGACGAGTAGATGAGGTGCTTAGGGACATGGTTTAGTGGGCATGGTGGTGTTAGGTTGATGGTTGGACTCGATGATCTTGGAGGTCTCTTCCAACCTTAATGATTCTATGATTCTATGATCACCTAGGACATGCTATACAGAAGTGCTTCAGTAGACAGCGTCTCACAGAGCCCCTAAACTGATGAAGTCTCCTTGTTGGGGTTAATACTGGTGAATGAACAAGGATCATTCTGGACTGAAACAAGAGACGTTGGCAGAGTTCTGCTGGTGAGCTGTCTTGATCAACTCGGACTTCAGTCTCAAGGGTTTATCCTTAAATACACTGGCTGACCTCAAGAATCTTGATGGGGTGCTTCAAGTAGAACTTCAAGGCTATATTGTTTCTTCAGCACATGGCTGGTTATTTGTTGACGTGTCCCTCCTCCCCCTCCCCCCGCAAGTCATGGTTGACTAGGAGGCAAACAACAAATTTGGCTATCTGTCTTGGATACTGCTCTACCACTCAATTTTGAAGCTGCTGAGCAGTCTTCCTTGGAAATCACATCTGAAATAGAACAAAAAGGACACTACTACACCAAGGGAAGTACCAAACCAATCCACACAGCTGCAAGAAGCAGATGCCGAGGTGCTGAGATGTCTAGGTTTGAACACATGCCAAAAGCAATGCCACACACACAAAAGGGCCTGAAGGGCCTGCAGAGAGCCTCCACTAGTTTTAACTGTTTCAGCAAAAAGTTTTCAAGAATGATCCAACACAGTATTGCCATGCAAAAACTTGCTTTGCAGCCAGCTGTCAAGACAGGATTGAAAAGCAAGAGCTTAATCACGACATAGAAGGGACAGAGACTGGGGGGAAAAAAAAAAACAAACCCAAACGTTTTCTTCTCAGAAATCACTGTAAGGAACAGAGTATGTTTCACCTTAGAAGCCACGCCAGCAGAAAAACCTCCACTAGGCCTACATGCGTCCCAGAAAAAAGAAAAAGATTTCCCAATGCTCCACAGCCAGAATACATCCCTCCCTCTCTTTCTTAATCCAGACCCCTCAACTTGACATATACCACAGATTCTTTCCCCGTAATCTCCAAGAAAACCCCTTTTATTCTTTACACAAACTCCTTTCATGTCCCCAACAGCTCTCCACATTGCAGCCCACAGGCACAGACCTCTCCATGAACATCCATGCAGACTACAGGTCAATGACAATACAGTGCAAGACCCATTACTATTTGACTCACACTGCATTCATACAATATTACTTCAAATAGCAGGAGATTTTAGTCTTGACCAAACACCAGAAGCCAATTGGGAGGGAAGGAGAAATCACAAAATCCACAGATTCTCTCTTCAGTTCAAGAATAACGTTTATACAGCATATGAGGGGGAAAAAAACACTGTTTAACATAAAAGGTTATCCTAGCGCGTACATGCACAGTATAGGTCACACACTTCAAAACCTACAAGCTTAAGTCTTTGAACAGATTATTTCAATGTATACTTGCAAAGGCAGGTGATAATGCTTAAGTTTTCCTTATGAATAAAAATAATTTAGATACAAAGTAGTGTGCCTATGTTTGAGAGATGCTTGATGCTGTTTCCAAAAAGCACGTCTGTGACCACAAAGGAAGAATCTTGATCTCACCTTTTCTTGCTTGCTATGTCTTGCTTAGGCTGGATGGCAGCTACTGTATTCCATGAGCATGAACCTTATGTTTTGTTGGAATAGCCATCTTCCTGAACTTTGAAGCATGACATTTGGGTACATATGAAAACTTAAAGGCAGAAAAGTGAGGCGTCACAGATTCCTTCACCCAAACTGTACTGTTACCCTATTTCTCTTTTTATTGTCCCACAGCGATAAATAAGGCCGGTATTCTCTCCCGCGTAGCTTGTCTCATCTGAATTCCTCTCCCCCGCAGCCGCAGTATTTTAAATTAGCAAACAGGAGAAATTTATATTCAATATTCTATTTGGTTCATTTGGCATTTGTGCTCTCCCCCCTCTCCTCCAACCCCAAGAATGAAACCAACTCAGTCTACTGAAACATGCTAACAAAGGTCACTTAAAAAAAAGTTCGCCTTTAGACAGGAAGATTCTTTTACGCTGAAACTCTAAGTAACATTGTACATGTACGTTCCTTCCACACTAATGTGTAAGTTCTGCTTGTAAATCTGGCGACAAAATAGATCCTTTCTGCTTGCCAGTCCTTCAGATTTTTCAGAGTTAATAGATCTCATCTTTTTATTGATTCCCCTTTGTGAACCTGGAATGAAGACACTGCCCTTTTTCTTTTTAGCTTGACTGAATTTAAGATTCCAATATTTTTGTCAGTTCTGACAATCAAAATATCTCTGCACCAGAACTGGTTATTACTAAAACCTACTACTGCATTTCAACAAACTATTTCCATATGCTAAATCAATGATTTCTTGTACAACATATTTTAAGCTCGGGTTTTTTTGTTTTGTTTTATACATTGGGCATAAACTTAGTTTTAAGCATATTACTAGTCTAACAAATCTTAACTGTCATAATTTTAGTATTTTAACAAAGTAGTTTTACATATTCTTTAACAATCAGATTTGTCTATAAAGCTTTTAAATGCTTCTCTTAGTTGTTTTTATTCATGTCCAAATAATGACATCATCAAGGTAAATGTTTTGTCAATGCTTATATTGCCATTCAGAGACAGAAGTATTTGAGGCCAAAAAATAAGCTGCATTCTTCAGAGGAACGACCTCATTTTTTCATCAGTCTGATGAACTATACTCAATTCACAGGAACAAAATTAATCATAGCTAGGATGCTGTCAGAAATCAGATACAGACTGGCCATAATTACCATCCACTGCTGCTTCAACACGGAGGGGAGGATCAGGGCCTCCCGACATCATCTCTGCTTGGTATGTATGAACAAGGGCCAGTTGGAAACTATGCAGCTAAGATACTAAACATCTGCAGCTCGATCTGAGATTTCCCCA